TTTTTTTTTTTTGAGGGGCAGTCTCGCTCTTGTTGCCCAGGCTGGTATGCATGAGATCTCCGCTCACTGCAGCCTCTGCTTGCTGAGTTCGAGCGATTCTCCTGCCTTAGCCTCCCAAGTAAGTGGGATTACAGGCACAAACCACCATGCCTGGTTGATTTTTGTATTTTCAGTAGAGACGGGGTTTTGCCATGCTGCCCAGGTTGATCTCAAACTCTTAAGCTGAAGCAATATGCCTGCACCTTGGCCTCCCAAAATGCTGGGATTGTGGATGAGTACGGTGCCGGCCAAAAGTTAAAAATTAAATAAAAGAATGAGACAGGGAAACATAACCAATACGGGCAATCTCCAAAATAATAGATGAAGCCTGGTGCTGCAGGCTGAATGGCTGTGCGCGCTGGTCCTGTGTATGGAAGAATCCACACAGCCACAGATCTCAGCCCACGGGCGTGCAGAACCCTGGGGACACCTGCAAAACGGCCTCAGGGGCCAGGGGAACATCTCATTAAAGGGATAAGAAAAAGCCATCATCAGGGTGGAGAACGATTTAGGTGGCCCTGGGGAACTGCCACAAGCTCTGTGTCCCTCACAGCTTCACCACAAGGACGGGAGTCCTGGGTTTCTGAGGCCTCCTAATTTCAAAAATTCCCTTCTCCACTTTTGTTGATACCCTCAGCCAGCTGGGGGTCCCAAAGTGGGCTTGAAAAATGTTTGGGCAAGAGTCTCATCCTCTCCTACCCTCTGCCCAAGAGGGACAGGGCTGCTATCCGGGACCCAGACCCTGGAACCCATCCCTGCTGGCTGAGCAGTCTGGGCTTGGCTTGGGCCGGCAGAGCTCCTGGGTACTCCGGCTCAACCTTGGCCATGCTGCCTGAGAGCGTCTTGCTGAGCAGATGGCCTGGAGTCCCAGACCCTTGTGGGAAGCCGAGCCTGTGCCAGCCCAGACGCCCCGATCTTCCTCCCAGTGCAGGGCCTAATCACTCGTGGTTAGCAGGAGGTCTGCAGAGGGAGATGAGATTGGCCCTCCAATCCTGCCTCTGGGAAGGCTGGCTGGTGCCAAGTTCTGGAGGAAGGGCCTGGAGCTTCCAAAAAAGTTTGGGAAGCAGGAAGGAAGAGGGGCACCCCTTGCCCTGCCAATTCAGACCACTCTCACAAGTTGGGGCCAGAATAACCAAGCGGCTTCCTCTGGCGCCTACTCTGAAGGGTCGGCAGTGCTGCCCAGCGCTGTGATGAAGAGGATTCCGAGGCACTGTCCATGCTTGAAGGAAGGACCTCCTTGGAGATGTCACCAGGTTCGCCACAGTGGAGGACCAGCAGTGTGCAGACCAGATGTCTGCCGCCCTGGAGGCAGGGACTTCCCTTCCACCAAGTTCTATGCATGACCCCAAGTAGAGAGGGGTGGGAGGTGTTATCAGGAGGATGATTGGTAGTCTTGCTTTCATTACGGTCCTGCTGCCAGTCCTGGAGCACCCACTTTTAGCCAGGCACTTCACAGATGCTGCCCGTAGTAGTCCTAAAGGGTAAGAGAATCAGCAAGGCCTCAAATCTTGCTGACCTCTGAACATATGCTAATTGGGGGCTGGGCATCATGATCCCATTTTACAGCTGGGGCAACTGAGACTCCAAGGACCTGCCAAGGACCCGCACCAGTAGGAGTGGGCCCTAAACCTGGGCACTCTCTCGCAGGCACCCTCACAGCCAGAGCCTGGTCTCCCACTGCCACTCCTGAGCCCCCACCCCGGGCCTGAGCTCCCCTGCTGATGGGGGGCAGGGGACACACCATCAGTCAGCAGAGCCAGGGGTGCCACTGGGGGAGGACATGCCACCTCCACAAGGCAGTGGACGGGGCCTCCCTGCATCCGTTACTTGCCCCCCACCCAGACTCTGCCCACCGCACAGCAGTGATAGATAGTTTGTGAAATACCCTGAGCTTGCGGTTGACCAGAATTCTGAAATAATTCCATTGAGACCGGAATTCATGCAATGTTCTGTATCCTGATGTGGTAAAGCAGGCCGCCCGCGGGGGCGCAAGGGGATGTGAAGGCCCGGGGATGGTGAGGCAGTCTCCAGGCCCTGCAGCAGGGGCTTCTGCCACCCCCCCTCGCCCACGGGCTCCGGAAGGCCCATCTGACAGGAGCAGGGCCCTGATAAGCACCACCTGACCAGGAGGCCCCCGGCAGAGAGATTAATGCACAAATTGTCAACAACCTCCCCATGCTGCACCCCCCAGAAGAGCAGGGCAGCGTGGAGGGGGAGGGCACTGGGAAAGGAAGGACAGAGGAGACCTCACCCGGAGAGAAGCAAGAGGACAGCTCGGCCTGGCCCTGCCCTACGGCCTCAGGCTGACTGCCCCACCTGCGCCAGCCGGGCTCTGGGCACCTAGGGTGGGAAGAGACCAAGGTGTAAAGCCAGGCCAGCATCGTGGGCCAGTGTGATGCCCGAGCAGGCCCTGGCTGTGCAGGAGGGTGGGTGGGAGCTGCTGCCTGCTGAACCCCCTCAGCCTGGAAGCTCCCCGAAGCTGGGGCTGATGCCAAACCTCCTGTCCCAGGACCCTGCGCTCCAGTCCCTGACTCTGCCAGCCCCCAGGGTGGCTGCTCTGGAGGGAGACATTGGTTTCTCCTTGACGGGCACCCCTCTCAGTATTGCAGAGTGTCCCTGTGTTTCTGCAGCCAGGCAGGGACTCCAGGCCTGCTTGAGCCTAGGAGGTTGAGGCTGTAGTGAGCCGAGATCACACCACTGCACTCCAGCCTGGGTGACAGAGTGAGACCCTATCAGTTGGCAGAGCATGGTGGGACTACAGGAGGAGGCTGGGGGTGGCTCTGGGGTCATCATATTCAGGACCACACATGGTCAACAGGCTCAGGCTGATGAAGTCCCCTCTCCTCGTGGGACAACCAGAAGCTCAGGGGCAGCCTGGTGGGTTTTCTATAAAGCAACATACAGCCATTGGAAGGGCTGCCTGCCTAGGCTCTGCCATTAGGAACCTCCTATTTCTTACGTGGAGGAAACTTTTCTCTAAAGCAGTGAAGGTACCAAAGACACAAACTGAGGGCCACTGGCATACTGAGCTTGCTGCATGGGTTACCAGGTTTTCATTTTCTTTAAGTCCATTCTTTCAGGTTGTATCTCCAGCTTTGCTTTGGAAGCTCTGGCCATTCTGAGTTCACATTCCCTCAAAGCCCCATGCCTGAAGCTGAGCAGCGGCTGCCCTGAAACAGGCCCACCCACTTCCCACCCCTGCTCCTCTCTGCAGTGAACAGAACAGTGAGGATCCAGAGTGTGAACCCCATGGACTGGGAGGAGTATGTGCCACGCAGGACAGCACTGGGGTTCACGCTCCTGCAGGGGCCCCGGCCTGGGGTCCGTCTCCATCATTCTTCCACCTCTGCTGGGGCACTCAGCTGCTGCAGTTGCTCGTCATGGACTATTTTCATGCAAGTCCATCTTCCTCATTGGGTTGCCAAAGACAGGGGACACAGGCTCAGGGGCCATGGGACTCAGCGACTAGGAGTTGGGGTGGACGTACATGAGGCCGCACAGACCTGAGTGCTCAGTGCTCAGATGAATCCTCTGAACCTTTTCAAGAGCAAGAGATGTGGAAAATTCGATTTTTTTTTTTTTTTAGTGGTTTTGCTCTGTTGCCCAGGCTACAGTGCAGTGGTGCGATCATAGCTCACTGTCACCTCGACCCCTAGGCTCAAGCGATCGCACCTTGGCCTCCCGAATAGCTGGAACTATAGGCACACACCACCATGCCTGGCTAATTTTTAAGATTTTTTTTGTAGAGATGAGGTCTCCCTCTGTTGGCCAGGCTGGTCTTGAACTCCTGGGTTCAAGCAATCCTCCCACCTCAGACTCCCAAAGTGCTGGGATTATAGGCATAAGCCACTGTGCAAGATGGAAAATTGTATTTTTTAAGTAATATCTCCCAGGTTTTAAATGTTGAAAATGAATTCACCTTTTAGTAATAATAACAATATTCTATAAGGAAAATAAAATGCATCTGCCAGCTAGGAGGTACAGCCTCCAATTAGGAGCAAGGAGGTTTCACCAGATCCCACTCTATCTGGTCAGCTGGTGTCAAGAGGGAATAAAAGTCTACGGCCATACCACCCTGAACCCGCCTGATCGCGTCAGATCTCAGAAGCTAAGCAGGGTCGGGCCTGGTTAGTACTTGGATGGGAGACCACCTGGGAATACTGCGTGCTGTAGGCTTTGTTAAAAAAAAAAGGGGGGGGGGGCAGAAATAAAACTATCCGCTGTAAAATGTTCTGATCATCTTTTCCAGCCCAGCCCAGGACTGCTTCTGAGCACCTAGCTAAGTAAGATTCTAGCCAGCCCCCGGGCAACTAGGCATGGTGCAGTGGACAGAGACAGATAATTAAAGCAATGAAATAGCATGACATCCTCCTGTACATGAATGGAGAGTTTCCTGAGGAATTCACAAGAAATTGCTAGTACCATTTTCCTCTGGGAGGGAGGCCAGTAGGAAGCTGGAGCTTCTGCTTGCCTCTCTACACCCTTCTCATCTGTCTGGATCCTTACTATGAACATGTGCTACTCTTACAATTTTTGTTTTTGTTTCTGTTTTTGAGATAGGGTCTCACTCTGTCATCCAGGCTGGAGTGCAGTGGTGTAATCTCGGCTCACTGCAGGCTCAACCTCCTAGGCTCAAGCCATCCTCCCACTTCAGCCTCCTGAGTAGCTGGGACTAATCTTTACATTTTTAGTAGAGATGGAGTGTCATCATATTGGGCAGGCTGGTCTTGAACTCCTGAGCTTGAGCAATCTGCCCACCTCAGCCCCCCAAAGTGCTAGGATTACAGGCATCAGCCATCATGCCTGGCCTCTTACAATTTTTTTAACCTCTTTTTGTTGTTACAAACGGGTCTTGCTATATTACCCAAGCTTGCCTCAGTCTCCTGGGCTAGACCTATCCTCCCACCTCAGCCTCCCAAGTAGCTGGGACTATAGGCCCACACCACTTTTACAATTTTTAAAACACAGAAATATTTTTTAAATGAATCTGGATATAAACAGATGTGGCAATACCTTCACAACATTGTAACCCCAATACACAGAGAGCCCAACAAGGCAGTAACCACATCTATGAGAGGGAGAAGGAAAGTAGCACTTAAGTTTTCCCAGAGGTAACGCTGGGGGTGGGTGTTAGAGAATGAATAGTGGTTTTTCCAGGCAGACCAGAAGGAATGTTTCGAAGACGCGGGACACCAGTAGTTGTGGGGATCACCAGGAAAGGTTTTGTGGCATTTGTGGAGGGGTTAAGCCTTGAAGGAGGGGAGAATAGGACAGAGACGGGGTTAGGGCGGGAAGTGTAGCACAGGCACGGACACGGAGCACAACTCCAGGGACAGTGGCATCTGGCTGCAGCTCCATGAAGGCCATCTCCCCAATGGCAGGGAGGGGTGAGGACCTGGGTTCAAGTCCAGGTTCTGCCACTTACTTGGCGTGAAGCCTTGAATTTGCCCTATCCATGCCCCGTTTGCTCCTCTCTTAAAGGGGGGATGTGTATCAGGGTGTAGTGGTGCACGCCTGTAGTCCCAGCTAATCAGGAGGCCCAGGCAGGAGGATGGCTGGAGCCCAGGAGTTTGAGGCCACCCTGAGCAACATAGCCAAACCACATTTCTAAATAAATAAACAGCATGGAACTTGTGTCCTACTGAAAGAGTGTGCCAGAAGCACCTGAAAGCCACGGCTAAGGAACTGTGCACACGCTGTGAGGAGCTGGCACAGGTCCTCACTGCCCCAAGCAGGGTCAGCCCAGGAGAGGGGCTGCCCCACCCCTTGCTGCCACACAGGCCGGGAAAAGCCATGGCTCTCCAATGGGCATCCATGCTCCAGACTAAGCAAAGGCTCTGCAAAGCTGGGGCCAGACAGCCCCTCAGTGTCTGCTGTCTCCGCTGGCCCTGAATCACAGGCCGCCTCAGGATGGCTCTGGTGACAGAGGGTAGGCTCTGAGCAGGAACCTCAGCCTGGGAATGTCCCCGGGTCCCCACAGGATCTGACACGGAGCCGCCACTGGAAATAAGCCCAGGGCTCCCAGGCCGGCGCTGCGGGGACGGGCCCAGGGCAGAAGTGCTCCAGGTCACCGGGGGGCTCTGGCCGCTGCAGAGGCCGAGGACACACGGGGTGACAGCCCGTTCCGGAGCCGGTCATCAGGCGCCAAGCCCCTCTGGGCTCCTTGCCGCCGCAGGGCCTTTCTCTGCCCTTCCCGAGGCTCAGTTTCCTGAACTGACGGCGCGGGGCAGCTGGGAGGAGCCAGGGCGTGAGGTCGTGGGCTCCCGTCACCCCCGGCTCGGAACAGCAGCGCCGCAACAACCGCTGGCGTTCATCGAGCCTCTCGGCAGCACTGCGGGGCGATCTCGGGGAGAATTCCACCCCACGGCAGAGGAAACTGAGGCAAGCAGAGTGACACACAGCGGGGAGTAGTGGGCGGGCGCCCAGGCTGCCACCGCGCTGAGGACCTGCCCTTCTGCCTGCCTGGAGGCGCGTGTGGCCTAGGCGGGGGCGCCCTCTGGCGGCCGCAGGCTCCGATCCCCGCCGGCTTCGCAGGCGTAGGCCAGGACAGCTACGCTCTCGCCAGGGCCCAGCGCCCCACTTTGCCAAGGAGAAAACAAGGCTGTCCCTGGAGCGGCAACTTTGTTCAGAGCCATGGAACATGTCCACGGGAGAACTGGAGGAGGAGGCCAGACTTGCTGCTGGGCAGCTGGCACGTGGACATGGGGTGTGACTCCAGCATTTAATGGAGTGCCTCCTGGTATGGTCCCATGACCCCCAAACATGAGTCCCCGAGCGTGGGGTTATCCTCTTTCATGGATGAGACCCTGAGGCTCAGAGACCTGTCCGACTCTAAAGCCGCCCATTGGGACTGACCCCAGACAGCACCTTAACAGCCACTGGGTTCCACTGGGGCCAGTGGAGTGCAGCATGAGGCAAAAGGGACTGTTTCTCCTCTGAAATGTGAGCTGAACTAGATCAGCGTTTTGCCAGTGCTCAAGTCCACCTTGCAGCACGTGCAGGATGCATTATCGCCTGTGTTCATATTCACATCCTAAGGCCAGGCCTGCACAGTGCTGATGGTGGGCACTGCCTGATGCTGTCAGCTTATTTGAGGATCACACCAACAATCACAGTCTGGTTAGAAATTAATATGACCCTGTTTTATGAATGGAAAATGGAGGCTAAGAGCAGCTGAGCACATTTCCACAGTCACACAGCCAGACGGCGTCAAATCGAGCAACCCAATCTGGGCCACTAGTTTCTGGCATCTGCAAGGCAGAGATGCCAGCTTACCCAGTTGCGCTCTGCGCTCAACCCACTTTTTTTAGAAATGGGGTTCACTATGTTGCCTGGACTGGTCTTGGTCTTGAACTCCTGGGCTCAAGCCGAGTATGGAAATTAAGCACAAGCCACCACCCAGGCCTACATTCTTTTTTAAAATTTATCCTTATATGAAACTTTGTATCTCTGACATAAGTGGAAAATCACTTTCACATGGCTAAATACAGGCAGCTGTAAAAATCAAATACAACATATGGCCAGTGAGGTGGCTCACACCTGTAATCCCAGCATTTTGGGAGGCTGAGGAGGCAGGACCGCTTGCGCCCAGGAGTTTGAGACCAGCCTGGGCAACACAGTGAGACTTCATCTCTTAAAAAAAAAAAAATCAATCAAATACAATTTACATGAAATAAAGTGATCCAGTTCTGGCTAGAGAGAGAATGGTCAGCAGAGAGCCTGGCATTCTAGACAAGGGTCCATCTTCATTGAAGAGGTTTCCGTGGTACAAATGAGGGAACTGGTGGGGCACTACCTGGTTTTCTCCTGAATCCCACCCCACTGCAGCACAGATTTCACTCCCCAGGAGCAGCAGCACCCCCTCCCAACCCCCAACCTCTCCACTGCAACATGAAGCATGCAAGAAAGACGAAGGTGTGTGTGTCACTCACTGGGGAGTGCTCATGAGACTCAGGGAAGACAGAGGCATGGATGTCCGTAACTGGGGTGCAGGTGGTGAGGCACAGGGGGAAGACAGTGGTGTGGGTGTCCATCTCTGCTGTGAGGTAGAGGGCAGACCCCAGGTAGATCTAGGGTCACAGGTTAGCCTGGACATATGAGTGGTGACTTAGATGACAACTGAAACCAGTGCCACGGTCTGAATGTCTCTGTCCCCCCAAAATGTACTTGTTGATGTCCTCATTCCATAGTGATGGTATCAGGAGGTGGGGCCTTTTGTGGGGTTATCTAGGTCATGAAGGAGGAGTGCTCATGATTGGGCTCCAGGACCTGATAGCAGAGCCCTCGCTCAGCGCGCCAACTTCTGCCTGCGAGTACAGTGAGGACACCGGCAGGCAGCATCCCGGAAGAGAGCCCTCCACAGAGCCGGCCACTGCTGGCACCCTCATCTTGGAGTTTCCACCCTTCTGAACTGTGAGAAAGGAATGTGTGTTGTTCTGAGTACCCCGATTGTTGTTATTTTGTTATCACAACCTGAACAGACCAAGACAGCCAGCAGAAGTATGTGCTCCTGATCCACATGGATCCAGGTACATGAAAACCCACCACATGTTCCCCAGGGTGAACACGCACCTGTCCCCATGCGTCTCACACAAGATGCACTGGCGGTGGGGAAGGGTAGGGAAGTTGGGGCTGAGCAGGAAGACGCAGCAAGCCCAGACGGTGCCCTGATCTGATGAAAAAGATAAAAATAGAACGAACTAGAATCAAATGCCCCACACAGGGCCTGGCCTGTTCTGACCCCCAGATCCCCACACCCAGCTGTGGAGCCTGAAACAGCTGCTGTGTTATCTGTGCCTCTGTCAGCCGGTGTGTTGCCTCTGTGCCTGGTCCATGGACGTCTGACTACGGGTCTCTGTAAACGTAGGGGCAGTGTCCGCAGTCCCTCAGGGCAGCCCCAACAGATAAGCCTTCCAGACTGGCTCTGTCAAGACCTGAAATTCCCAAGTCCTAAAAAGGCTCCAAATCCTCCTCCCACCCCACATAGACAACACACAAATAAATCATAACTGCTGAGTCCTAAGCATTTCGTGTGTGCCTGGATGTTTACACACATATTTGTCATCCTCACAACATAAGTAATATTTAGTCCATTCTTTGAATGGGAAAACAGGCAGAAAGAACTTAAGTGACTTGCCTCAAAGTCACCCAGCTGGCACAAGCAGGGTTCAGGTCCA